CTCGAAAACTATAATAGATAGAATGAATACCAATAGATGCATATGAAAGCTGAAGTGTTTGGGGAATCTAGCAAGTATCGATATATTACGTTGTTTTAGCCGTTTGGCTGTAATTCGTGTTCAAATGTTTAAAAAATGCTCGAAAAAGCAGTAGATGCTAGAAGAAGAATTTGCACCTTAATTATCATATGAAAATTCGTAAATTTACCATGGAAATGAGGAATCAGAATGAACCACTTTGCAGTGTCATGTGAAACGTCCGTTAATGAGACGGAATATTCCGAAAGTAATTCCAATTAATGAATGAATATGTCCAAGATGTGTGCATACGAGGAGGATTTTTTTTATTGTTCACTTTCTAAGTGCACTGAGAAAGCAAGTAGAATGAGACGGGCGAAGAAAAATGTGCGAGTAAGTTTTAATTTGCGCGACGAAATGTTATTGGATCATTGCGGTAAACCTCTTAGAAATCGGTCGAAGAAAAGTTCCAATCGATAATTATGTTAAATCGCACATCGAAATCAGAAGTAAACCATGTTACGGTTTTCTTAAATACATCGGGAGATTGTTTATAGAAAACGGCGGAGACATATTTTAAACGTTATAATATTCAATTAATTCCTGTTACAATCTTTACACTATTTCATTAATTTAACTTTTAGTTCAATTTTACAAGTATTTGTTTCTTTTGACTTGCAATAACATTTATATAACAAAAAATTATGCAACTGAAAGTACATCAATCAGTTACTAATAAGTAAAGGTTGTAAACTTCTAAATAATTGTAAATAAGTAATTTATTTGATTTTTTTCTTAAATTATTGATATTTTCACCTGAAATTTTTGCTTAATAATTGATGATTCCTTCGAAAGTAATAAATTTATGTGTGTGGATCATAAAATACAAATATCTATGAAATATATGGAAGATACAGATATTAAATATTAATGTTTGTAGTCCATATTAAAGCTTGAAAAGTTTAAAGGAAATTTATGTATTATCCGGAAAAACTCCAATAAATCATGCACGCGGCTCGACGGAAAACTATATAAATTTGTCGAGGAAAATCGTGACCATAATGCGGTATTGGTGAGTGTAGCGAAAAACTTTCACTCGCGACGCCGGCCGATGTGTTATATACCTCCACTGCAAAACTTTGTAAGAAAGAAAGGAAGGAAGAAAAAGACTCAAATCTGCAGCAGTGGGAACGCATTTCTTTTTTTCCTCAGGTGTGTGTACCAAGAATTTCTCGAATCCATCAGTCGGTGCTCATTGTCTACGCAAGAAACATCGTCAAAAATAATTGACCTCAGGCGTGTTTTGAAATCGCGGAAGTCGTGACACCAAAGGTCGACCGGTTTGCGTTCACCTCCGAATCAAAATCATATACAATTAGAACAAAGAACTTTGATGTAAATGTAAAATGTAATTGAATCGTGAAGTGCTACTGTTGTTCTTGTTTTTTCTTCTGTGTTATATTTGGGATTTAATTATGTACGCAGCCGAAAGTTTTTTATTAAGGACTTCCATAGTTTTGGGATTAGTTGCAGCTGTTGTTACTATTTTGTATTTATCGCCTATGCCAGGTAAACAATTAATTAGTAACCAAAATAAAATGAACCTTTAAGTTAATTACAAGACTTTAGTTATACAAGTTTTCCAAATACAAAAATTGAGAACAAAAAAAAACTTGAATAATTTGAGTTACATAAACGAACTATTTAGCATTCTAATATATGTATATTATTACATTTAAACATTCCCAAATAATGTAATGTATTTTATTGCATGATTTACAAACGAGTTTCTAAAGCAAACTATTATAAACGTGGTGAGTGAAATTGTACAATTTAGTTGATTCTCAAACAAGTTTTAACAATAATTATCTATGTTCTTTGTAGAATCGTTCAAATTGATGCAATTATGAATTTAAACAGTGGCGTAACAATTATTAATTGATACATTTAAAAGAAATAATGAAAACTTAAAATTTTGTAATATTTTTTTTATACTTTATTTAGTAAAATATTTACAGCAACAATACAATATGCTTTGGAAATGCTTTATAATTGAAACTTGTTAATCAACTTGTAATTAAATACTTAAGGAATCTTCGAATCTTTCTTAGAAATTGAATAACAATAAAGAATTAACATCAAAGAAAAATTAAATAATTTCATTAAGGTTTTCAAAACTGTTAATCCTTGAATTTGATCTTGATAAATAAAAAGGAGTAAAATTTATTTAGGAAGTAAAAACACATGTTTTGTGTATGTCCTTTACGTAGTCTATGTATTTTCCATTATCCTTGTACTTAAAAAAAAATTAGTTAACATCTCTTGTGGTTCGTTTCGAATGCGGAAAACATGAAATTGTGTTACGCTACTGCATGTAATTTCACGATAATGTTTGTAATGCAAAGTTTGCCTTGTAATGCAATTTTAATTATAGGAACATCCATGGATATAATTGCAAATGTTACACAATTCAGCAACATAAAACCGGCACAAAGTAATTAGAAAACAATGCAATTTATGTAATGAACATTTCTGGTATAGGAAATCATCATCAATTTAAAATCCACTCATATTTAAGTATATAGACTTAAGTTATATATCAATTAATAAATAAAACTTATCTAAACTTATTTGATCTATGTCTTATAACAACTGGTAAATCAGGAAACTTTGAAACAATTCCATAACTTTGTTACAATTCAACAACTTTTAATTAAGATTTTTAATAGAATTATCTAAGAAATTAATCCTTTTAAAGTAGTAAATTTTGAAAAGGTTATAAATTATAATATAAATTAAGTATCTTCTAATCAAATGTAACATTTGCATGTGTCGTTAAACTAATGCAATTACATTCGAATTAAACCGGATGAAATCATTTTAATTACGTCAGATTAGCATTAAAGTCCTTGTTTTAACGAAGATTTATGGGATTCGGGAAAACAGCGAGTCTCCAAAAAGTACAGACGAGGAAACGGTTGAACCATAAAAAAAGGTCGTCTCTTAAAAGCAACGCATAAAAGAGATAGTGATTGCAGCCTCGGATCAGTGAAAGTTGTCCGCAGAGAGAAATTATTTTCTTTTTTAGCTTCTTCTCTCTCTCATCTGAAACCATTAAAAGATGATTATTTAATGGAAAGATGAGCAAATAAAAGTCGGAAGCAGGAAACGAAATCGATTATTAAAACCGGTTTCCGACCATTCTTACGCAACTTCTGTTATATTCGACAGATTTCACTCTCGATTGCTGCAGATGTTATTGACAGCATTACTTAGCGAGTTTGCTTAACAGTTACGCAATTGTGTGTGCATTAAAAATAGTCTTGGATTGCATAAAATATTTGTAAATCTCAAGAAGTTTTATTTTGCAACAAATTCCAATTTGTTAAAGTATGAAAGGAAATTACGAAATTATGTCTTATTGAAATGCAGCAAAGTTTAATGTAAAATGTCAATTAACTTAATTTATTTAATAGACATACATTGGCTGTGTCTGCGTTGTTAAGTAAAGTGGATGTGGGTTTTCGATTAAATTTTCCAACCCATGTCTTTAGCCGAACAACTTCGTGCACTTAAGCTGTGAAGTTTACGAACGGTAATTAATAATATTAGGAAACAATGAGCAACTTTCTCTGGGAAACTTATTACTCGCACATTTATTATATATACATATATATCCTACATATTCATGACTGGTCTTTCTCACTCTCTGCGTGTATCTCTTGTACATTAAACTTTCTCGCTTCAAGACGCTCGAACTAAATTGAAAATAAATCAATTACACTGCATTCCTTTTTATTTTTATACAGATTTATAATATAGAATTATGTTAGTATGCTTTACTCTACATTTCATTTAAAGATTAAGCTAAGTTTGTTCAATAACAAATGGAATTAATCACAACATCGAAAAGGTGAATTTATCTTCTCTTAATTTCAGATCAGTTCTTCAAAAGCTGTGATCGTCCTTGCCATGAACTGGATTGGCCGATGATTTGTCGCGTGAAGCTGAACATAGACTCTTACAAATCATCCAAAAGGTAATGAGATAATTTAATTAAAACGAACAATATTAACGTTATTTTCTAGTAATTGCCTGAACAAAACTGATTGTGATGATTGGCCTAAAGACACCCAATACGGCTTTTCTTTAGCGAATAATTTAGTCCATGGTCCATCGATCCACGTCTGCGAGAACGACGTGTTAATAGTTGATGTAGTGAACAGATTGCCTGGAAATGCGATCTCAATCCATTGGCGCGGTCAGAAGCAGACGGAATCTCCTTTCATGGATGGAGTTCCTATGGTCACCCAATGTCCCATCAACAGTTACACCACGTTTCAGTACAGATTCAGAGCTGCATCAGCTGGTACACATCTATGGCACGCGCACGCTAGATCCGAATTGGCACAAGGCATCTTCGGAGCTTTGGTGGTGAGAAAAGCAGCGAAACTCGATAAGCAGAGGAAGCTGTACGACTTTGACGACAAATCCCATCTGATCGTGATCTCTCAAACTCAAGATTTAAGCACGAACTCGAGAAAACTATTAGTTAATGGTAAATCTTCAGATGAAGAGTTTAAAGTGAAACGTGGGAAACGCTATAGGTTTAGGGTGGCTTTCGGAGGTGGCATCAACATCTGCCCTGTGACTGTATCCATCGAGGATCATCTTATGAAGATCATCTCATTAGATGGTACACCCATTCATCCGAACGAGGTTAAATCTTTTACCTTAACCAAAGGAGAGAGACTAGATTTCGTTATTAAAGCTTCGAAGAGTGCGGGTCGTTACAAGATCAAAGCTGAGGGACATTGCACTTCCACAGTCGAAGCATTTTTGCGGTACAATGATGAAGGCTTTTATCATAGAGAAGACGAATCGGATGTTGGAATGGAGATGCGAGGATTCACGACTGGGCTGTGTGAAAGCCGGATAGGTCAAGTGTGCTTGAACGACGTGCAGGCAGTGAAAAAGTTACCCAAAGTGCTTAGGCACGACGCGGATAAAACCATCTACCTTCCGTTCGATTATGCACTTCTTGAGTCGCAAAAAGGTGAGTCTCTATTCATTCTCATTCTCTTGCACAGGAGAAAGTTTCAATATTCCGCAATTCACCGGAAATCATTTACAGTAAATCGTCTTATTCAATAACAATTTATTGCATTTTCTTTAGTTAATTGATCTTTCTTATAAACCTTAAAAAAAAATACTCTTTCACAGTTTTCCCAATCGTTTTAAACATGTATTATTTGTTCACTAAGAAACACGAATTAATTTGTTCTCAATTTCTGATAAATTGTATTAACTATAGAACTCGATTATAGTTGAAGATATGTATTAATAATAAGTAGTTTTCCTGGCTTAAGAATTTAATAGATTATAGATGTGCTAGTTTCCATTGAAATGTAGACCTTCATGAGATCAAATGCGATTTATTATATGCAATTCACTTTCTCCGGATTCATTATTCAACATTACAATGCTTATTACCTGATATATTACAATATCACTTTTTGCATTTGTAATAATGATTACTCTAAATCTAAACATCAGTGAAGATTGACCTAAATTAGCTTTATGTTATAGAAAATAGCTCTAATTTTACGTTAGTGGAAAGTACATTTATTTGTATGTTAACTGAAAGAGGAGGCATAACTTATGCGGAAACTGTAATTATTTAGTGGAGAAATTGAGATTTCCTCTAGAAAGGCAAATTTGTTTAATGAAGATGTTGAATCAAAGTGATTGTACGAAGGAAATCATCTTAGTTTAATTACAAACATGCGGATATCTCGGAATGATATGTATTTAGTGAAATCCAAAATAAATAGAGGATCTTGAGGTATAAGCTTATCAAGATTTGCTTTACGCCCATCCGCAACTTTCCAAACCGTAAATCGGTTTTCTTTTATACTCATACTCTCCCACAGATTTCGAGAAGATCTATCGCATGGGAAACATCACGTTCACGTATCCACCATCCCCTCTGCTGACCCAATACGAAGACGTCCAGACGGATTCCATATGCAGCACCGAGCAGATGCCAAAGAGATGCAAATCGCAGGAAATCTGCGAATGCGTTCACGTTGAGAGCGTGCCGCTCGGATCCACCGTCGAACTGGTTCTAATAAGCAGAGGTATATTGAAATACTCACATAATAAAAAAAAATAGAAAACTGGAACGTTTCTATTCTTGCAGGAGCCGATCCCATTGAAAGCGTGTTCCATTTGCATGGATACAGCTTCTACGTGCTCGCATCCAGAACGTTCAAGAGGCCGCTCTCGTTGGAGGAAGTCAAAGAGCTCGATGCCAAAGGATCTCTGTTCAAAAGGAATTACGTTTCTCCTATTGAGAAGGATACGATTCGCGTCCCGGAGAACGGCGTCGTAGCGCTGAGATTCGTCGCAGACAATCCAGGTAATTATTGTTTTTTTTTAATATTACTTTTGCAAATCTTCAAGTTATCTCTTAACGATGCAGGCTTTTGGATGCTGCGCGACGAGAATTCTAACCGATGGACGCGTGGAATGGACGTGATTTTCCACGTGGGAAAACGCGAAGACATTCCGGATACTCCGGCGAATTTCCCAACGTGCGGCAGCTGGATCGGACCCGACTTCTTCCTAATATAATAAAAAAAAAACAGACTGTACTATAAATTATTAACATTATGATGTAATTGAATAGACTGTAATAATTTACTATTTTTATATAAACACAAACATATTTTTGTCTAATTATACTTTTTTTTATAACTATTATTTATTTATTTCTAAACCTTCCAAATTAATTGTTTTTGGTATTGTTTTAACTTCGAGACTTGTAACTAAAGTAAACTTTATTGATTAACTCCGCTATGTTTACATTGTACTTCAATCGATACTTTTCCCTAACGCTCGTGCATGCACAGAGTTCCAATTCATAGTTGAAGCAATGTCTTTATTCAAAACACGTGAATTTTGGTCGGTTACCGATGATACCGAAGAAGAATTTGATCAAAGCTCTTTGAAGATCAGCAGGTTGAATGGTGACAGTGACTTCGTGCTCATCGGGAGCCATTCCGGCCTTTTGAAGATCTACAAACCATCCACGGATTTAAACGAAAATAACGTGTTGAGCCCTTACAAAGCTAATGATCTTATTATAGAGAAAAACTTAAATTTCCCAATTCTTCAAATAGGAGTTGGAAAATTGGTTTCGTAAGTACTAGTATTTTATTACTAACTTAAACAATAATCTGTTGTTTTTAGTGGATCGAATCAAGTTCAGATTGCAATTCTGCACGTGAGGAGTTTCGCTGTTTACAGTTTAACCACCAAGGATGGAGCTGTTGAACACGGTAGAAAATTATTAATAATATCTGCAAATTTATAAATTGATATCACTTTAGGTAACCAAAACATGATCAATTTACTTTACGAGCATAAGTTACGAAGAGCTGCAGCTAATTTCATAATCGGCGGTTTTGGGGGCTCCGAAAACCGCGATTTCATCGCAGTCCAATCTCTAGATGGAATGCTTTCACTTTTCGAACAAGAAACCTTCGTCTTCTGTTGTTTTCTTCCCAATTTCTTGCTGCCTGGACCCTTCGTCTACTCGAAACGCACGGACAGTTTCTTGATGGCTGGAACCAATTGGAAAATTGAAAGTTTTAGGTTATAACTCTTAGCTTCATTTGTAAAATATTTTGAATTAAATCATGTTTCAGTTATAAGACATTATCAGCAATTGGTCAGAATAGCCAAGAATCCGATATATCCGGTTTAAAGTTCCAACCGGATTGGAGTTTTGGATTAAACGAAGACGTGGTGGATATCCAATACCAATTCGGTGAATTATCTAAAGAAGGTTTCGTTGTTATTCTTGGAGAAAGAAACGTTGTGTGTCTAAGCGATAGTGGAAAACTGAAGTTCATGAAGCGTTTAGAATATTCGCCTATGTGCTTCACTACATATTTATTATGTAAGTTAATTGAGTGTTATGAAATTTTAGGGTTTAAACTTGCGTTTATTTAAGCTGACAACAAATTGATGACTTTGGTTGTTTCCGAAACCAATTCTCTTCTACTTTACCAGAACACAATGCTTAGATGGTCGGCGCAGTTACCAAACTCTCCAATATCTATCGGTAGAGCGAATTTCAAGAATTTACGTGGATCTATAGTAACTTTGACGGAATCCGGTGAACTGAGCTGCGCCTATTTAGGAACACAACCGAGTCTATTTTCCGCACCTCCTTTGATCAACCAAGAACTGGATTATGAGCAAGCTGAAATGGAGATGGCCACTCTCAGCAAAGTGATCCGAACGAGGTTCAGCAACGGCTAGTATACTGCGATACGAGAAGAGAAAGTTTAAGTGAAAAAAAAATACTTTTTGCAGATCTGAAATTGAGTAACAAAAATGAGCACGAATTAGGGCTAGAGTTGAACGTGAATCCTCATCTGGAAGAGAGCGTTTTCAAATCCGCCCATCGTGAGAACGATTATGCTATGATGTGCACGGTAACCGTGGTTTTATCGCCGAGGGCGATCTTCGAAGAAATCAATCTGTGCGTTCACGTTCACAAACCGTTGAAAGTCCATCCTCAATCGGCTTTTTTCGCAAACTTGAGCGAAGGCACGTCTTTCCAATGTCAAGTGCATATGGACGAAGAAGCAGAAATCGCTTCCATTCAAGTTACAACCATAGCCACTTGCATTTCCAGCATAGGCGTCCCTAAGATCTTTAAGAAGACGTCTGTTCTACCATTGAATTTAGTACTGAAAACGAATCCTCCGATGAAAGAGAACAACCTGAAAATAACTTTAAACATCAACGAAAATTCAATTCCACTCTCCACTCTATTTCCAGGTATTACATTGTAATAAAAAAACACCTGTAATTATTAATTTATATTCTTTTCAGAATTCATCGGAGAAAACGCTTTGACTCTGAGCAGTAACGCGGTGTGCTTTGCGAATGTATCCAACGAAGGTTCACCTGTTACAATACTTTTGGCAAAGTCCTCGCAACGTTACAGATTGCAGTCCGATTCTTTGGCATCGTTGAACTTGTGCACACAAGAGTTGATAAGACGTTTGCAAAAATACTTTGCCAACAATAAGACCTTCAAAATTACATTCAACTCCTCTCTGCCGCTCACTCAACTAGTCCAATACATTAACGAGCATTTCGAGTACAGAAGGAAAGTGAATTTCTTGCAAGTAATAACATCTACCTATAGTTAATTTCATATGATACTTATAAATGATTTTAGAATGAACTAATTCAACTGGGAGCCCAATTCAGATTGATTCAAAAGCGTTTAATTTCGAAATTCAAAGACAAGAATCCAACGCCTCTAACGAATTTGGATATGCTGCTGAATGATACCTATAACGAAACTTTGCGAACCACTGTAGATTTAGAGAAGACAACCATGGATTTATCGAGGAGCCAAACGAATCTCTCGAGCGCTTTGTATCTTATATTAACTTTAGTGCAAATAATGGAAGACGTCGATGATAGAGGTTTACTGGAAAACGCTTTAGCCCCGATTGTCGAGGATTACGAAGGACAAGTATTTATTTTTTTGTGCTATTGTTGAGATAATTGTAATATGTGAGATAATTCCAGAATTGGGAAGACGTTCTTGACGCGTCTCTGAATCACTTGTTGAGAACGACGCTCGCAAAGTCTGAGAAGGATCAATTGAGGGCCAAGTACACTTGCTACGAGGAGGTCAAGGATTTGGCTAAACTTGAGAAACACTTGATGATGGTTCTAGAAAGGGTTTGCAAGAAGGGAACCATCCTCGAAGTTACACAAGATGAGGAGAACGTTGATCACGATGAAGCTAAGGAAGATGAAGATGTTATCCCTGTTGGTAGCAGACTCGGAGAATCTAGCACTAGGTTATTATCAGCTAGGAAAAGTTTACTTAGGAGACGACAGAAGATCAATGAAGATAATTAGAAAATTATTGATTTTCGTAAGATTTGTGTAGGTATATAAATAAAATAAATTATTTTTGAAAAGTAAATTTAAAATATTCTTAAAATGCAGTCATGTCATATGCAACCATCTTAATATTAAGAAAATACAGTTCATCTAAAGTATATTTCATAGTTCGGAAAACAAAATATTCTTATTCGCAGCGTAAATAAAAGATTTAATAGGATGTTTAATTAGTTTATGTAACTTTCTATTGTTGCGTCTTAATACAAAGAAGTATATAGAGTTGCCTATACACTTAGTGACGACCAGCGGGAGTAGTGTAGCTGTCAGTCTGACAGATCATCAAAACATATAAGTATAGTTGGATGTTTGTCAGTGTTGTCTGGTGAAAGGGGATGATATAGGGATGGAAGGTACTCTGTGGAAATGGACGAACTACTGGAACGGTAAGCAAAGAGTTTGTACTTGATGTAGGTAAAAATCATTAGAAAGTGTGCACGTTTTCCAGGCTGGCAGACACGCTGGTTCGTTTACGAAAACGGTATCCTGAGCTACTACAAATCGAAGGAAGATGTTAGTCAAGGATGCAAGGGATCCATGAAGATATCGGCTTGCGAGATTAATGGTAAATGAAATAGATATCCTAACAGAAAAAAACTGTATAGAAAATCGATGAATCGTCCTTAAAATCATGTACATATGGATTCGGGAAATGCGTATATATGATAATTTGTAAACAGTCGCTGGTCGAGTCATATTTTATAGGCAAATTACATACATACACACTTTGTTTTGTTTTAGTATTCATTATCAGACATGTTTAATACTTGATGATAATGGGCTTGTTATCTGACCATTGTTCTATTATTAAGAAAAAACAACAACAATATATTTTTGTAATTTGTATATTTCCTATAAATTCGCAGTTTTTATAAAGAATGTGGGTTATCTTATAAGATTATAATAGTAATGAACGTTTAAAGATGCTTAAAAATATGTACATATCAATACTGTTTATTTTGGTATTATTTAGTGATTAGCACTGATGTTTACCTTGAAGATTTTCTTACTCGAGAATTAACCAATTATTTTGCCGATTTCGTCATCTGTAATGAATTTGATGTTTTTGAATCTTTGATTAACGACCATTTGGAAATTGATGATGGGAATGCTCCTATAGGGACAAACATGTTTCACGTAATTCTCGTAGTCCGCGTACATCTTGTCCAAAGAAACTTGCAGCGGTTTCTTCTTATCAAAATCTTCAGCGCAATTGATTAACACGTAGTTGTATACGTATTGTGAGATCACGTCTATGGTCAGCATTATCGGAGCCTGCTTGTCTTTCGTACGTTTCTTCAAAGGGATGTAAGTCTTGATTTTGATCATGATGGATTTGAAGAAGCTCGGGGTGCAGTTGTTGAAGTATAAGTATGAGCCGAAACATACTTCTCTACCTTGGTAGATGTACTTTCGCTTCTGGTTCTTTATAGTTGAGCGTTCGTGGATCAGAGAACCGCTGATGAGGCCCATGGTGAAGATCTCGTGTTCGTTGTCTTTCATCTCGGAGATGTAAAGACGACGCTTGTAGATCCAAGCCGGATCCAGGCCCTCGTAGCAGCTTTTACCGCAAGGGCAACCGTTCTTCATGATCAAAGCCACCTCGACGACGCTGTTCTCCATGTACGTCTTGTTCCCCTCGAACGTGCAGATCTTCATATCGTTTCCGCCCGACATCGTCGCCTCTTCGTCAACTTGCATCTGAAACTCTTCAGTTTCTTCCACTTCGCGTTTTATTTGTGACACCAACTCTTCGACGAGTGTCCACATCTGCGTGTAGGACATAGCTACTTATATGCGAATTACAGTTTATCAAATTCGAAACCCTAGAACAATATACAAATAAAGTATGCATTGCAATATTCCGTTTCATACTCATTGTCCGACACCTAAATAAAATACACAAACTCCAATATCAAAACGACAATATTACATATCTCAATCTCAAATGTTTATTTACTTTATAATTACGATACCTCTTGCAATTTTGCACTTTTATAATAATAATCAAATCGAGCGGAATATGAACTTTTTTGTTATTCGTTTACGAGTCATTATGAGTCATTCTTTTTGTTCTCGGTCACCCAACAAGTATTTTCCGCAGCACTCATTGCTTAACTATACGGTTAACTTTTGCACATATATTAAACTATAAGAATATTGCAATTATACTTACAAGAATATTTGTTCTTAACTTTTGCGGAAAAGATGTTTTTGCTGAACCTCTAGCCAAAAGGTATTAAACTTTTGTTGCACCCTTTAGATGGCGTATCTAAAACTACTTTGCGGGAATTTCAAAATTCATATTAACCTGATAATGGAGCAATGAAATCACTCGATAAATTTCAAGCGAAAACAATTTGTAAATAATTAATTTTGATTACCGATTTTCATATGTAATTACCTAAAGACTATGAGATAATAATGAAAATATATTTTTTTGTAGCTAGTACAACAGACATGACGAGAGTAGATTTGGGAATACCTGGAGAAAGGCACATATACTTAAAGGCAGCAACGATGCTGGAGAGGCAATCATGGATTTCGCAGTTCGAGTCGGCCAAATCTTTTAGACGAAGCAGTCTAGAATGTCGTAAGTATTTTATTAGCTTTCATATGACAATTACGAGTAGTATTTAAATTGTTCTTTAATTTCAGAAGAAATTCTCCCAAGCGCTTTGAAATCGAAAAAGTCAGAACTGCGTGTATACTGCGATCTTCTGATGCAACAGGTGCACACGGTGAAGATGGCCATAAACAGCGAGAACGGCCCTGAGGTTCTGGTAAGTCCCAAATGATCTTTGAACGTTCAAATTTTAAAATTTTATTTGTAGAAGATGGATGAAGCCACCAGATTACTCGGAGCCACTTGCAACACGTTCATAAACACCCTGGAGGAGTGCATGAAACTGGCTAACTCCAGCATCATGTACGAGCAAATGCAGACATTGGACGTCACCTCGCACAGGTAAGGTGACGTCCGTCGCTGTCCGACTTCGCATCCTCATTGCCCTATTGTTCCGTACTGAAAACGTATCTAGGCTTAACACTGTTGGAATCCCGTATCGAGAGGAGTATAATGAATCACGCGAGGCAGGAGAACGCAGACGAAGAATCTGATTAGTTCGTCAAGGATATTATTATTATTGTCATTGTATATTTTTTTTTTATATATAAGTATTTTTTTAATTTTTTTACTTCTTTGTCGCAAGTAACCGGAAAGAATTATTTATTTTCTCTTTGTGACAATTACATTTGGATTTTTGTTGTGGGTTGTTAATATTATTATTATTATCTTTGAAAGTTTTTGTATTCGTACTTTAGATATCAATATATCGTAACTGTATGTATTTGTAATATAATCACGTGTTAATGTAGAAAACCTTCCACAAAAATGAAATTATATATATATTTTGTATGTGATATTTTGGAGAAATTTGCTATTTTTGTTATTTAATTGTACTGTATTCGAATTCATGTACTTTTATTTTTTTTTTATGTTTACTTTTATTTGTTTTACGAAACCAAACCGGGAATTAATAATATATTATCAAAAAAAAAACAACTTATTAATATTCTTTGATTTGTCTTCGGAATTAAATACATAAATTGAAGTTCAAATAGCATGTTTTTGCTATTTTCAGGATAACTACTCAAGATAGCATAAACATTCTTCTAGAAGCATGTGTTTACAAAAATACATGCCATTTCCGAAGACGTTATTTTGACAGTTATCATTTGCGAAATAACAAAGTTTGTTAATTAATTATGTAGTCGCTATAGCAGTTATAATCATATATTTATGCTCATTTGAATCTACGTATATTCAAGATCAATATTCATTTCTAACATTCTCGTGTAAGCTAATTTTTACGAAAATACAGGCCATTTCTAAGACGTTATTTTGGCAGCTGTCATTTGTGAAATACCAAAATTTGTTAATTAATTATGAAGACGCCATTGTAGCTACAAACGTATATATACGCTCATTTTAATCTCTGTATATTCTAGATCAACATTCATGTTCAACATTTTTCTATCAGCAAGTGCGTACGACAATACAGGCCATTTTCGAAGACGATGTTTTCCACACTGTCAAATACCAAAGTTTGATAATTAATTGTGACGAAGCTATGGTAGCTACAAACATCTATTTATGCTCATTTTTATCCCTGTGTATTCTAGATCAATATTCATATACACAATTCTTCTGGGAACAAGTTTTTATGAAAATACAGGCCATATTCGAAGACGTTATTTTTCCATCTGTCATTTGTGAATTATAAAAGTTTATTAATTATTTATGACTAGGCTATAGCAGCTATAATACTATAATTACGCACATTTGAATCTACGTATATTCAAGATCAACATCCATATCTAAAATTCTTGTGGGAGCTAATTTTTACGAAAATACAGGCCATTTTTGAAGACGTTATTTTGCCAGATGTAATTTGTGAAATATCAAAGTTTCTTAATTAATTATGAAGACATCATTCCAGCTACCAACGTATATGCATGCTCATTTTAATCTGTGTATATTCAAGATCAACTTCCAAGTCTAAAATTCTTTTGGGAGCTTATGTTTACGAAAATACAGGCTATTATCTAAGACGTTGTTTTTCTATTTGTTCATCAAAGTATATATGTATGTTTGGTGGCCTGCACTTTAGGCGCATAATAAATATTCAATTTTTTTGTGACAGCTGGCGCCATCTGTTAGCAATATAGCAAAGGTTAAAGTTCGGGCATTTTGGCGCTGCATGAAATCCATTTCCTTAAAAACGTTCTAATTTTAATAAATAAATATATCAGAATATTGCTTAAACAAATGTAATGTTGTTACTTTAGTCTATTTATATAAATGCTAATTAGTTTTCGCGTTATATACGTTTTAATTACGACAAGCAGAGACATCTGTCGGAATTATCAGGAACGACCGATGGCAGGAGCTCAGATACCTCCTCGCTGCTCCTGGTCTCCTGGTAGAAATCGAAATTTTCTGGCATTTTCGAGAATTAAGGGGGAGGGACTTGCGTTTTGATTCGCGAAAACCGCTAACGCATTAAAGCTTAATAACTTTCTTATTAATTGACCAAAACTAATGTATTTTATAGCAAACGAAAGCGAAAGAAGTATTCTTTAGAACTTTCAATTAAAATTTTCAAATATATATGAATATAACCAATTATTTAATTATTTTTCAATTTGGTGCAATACCTTAACGTTTTTTTAAATTATTCAATTACCACTCGTGCTAATTAAACCATCAAATACGCAGATTAATGAGAAAACTATAACCTTTCCAATGAGCTAACTATCGGCATTGTAGCTTGGTCAGTGCATCTACTATAAGTTATCAAAATTAAGCATTTTAATTTCATTTTTCAATCCAATTATGTTTTTGTTGTTGTATTTGTTAATAAGCTTTATATTATACATAAATATGATTTATTATCAATTACAATCTTTCATATTTTACTCCCTTGGATATAAATATGTAAAATAATGAAAATCAATATAATGTGAAAACATTGCTTTCTCGAGCGTAGTTTTTTTCATTTTTCAACTCAAAACTAGAAGAATCGAAAACCTTTCGAATGAACCCTTAAAAACGATTCCATGCACTTAGTAGTATCGAGAAACGACGATAATCGTGATTCTCAAGTAATTCAAGAATAATTCAAGAATAATCATAAACTGATGATCGTAACAAATTTGTGTATAAATTAATAACAGAGGGAATTCCTTCAGACCTTTCCCATCATTTCTGAAAGGTTATCATTCTCGCACTCAAATAACTCTGATACGTGTATTTATATATTTTATCTGCAATTACATAATTAAGTTAAAGTGGTGATTCCGAATGTTATCATTTCAAACACTTTCACTTTTTCGTCGAGTTTATTTACTTTTTCTTCTCCTGATCATCAGATCTCTCTCACAAAAAAATAAAACACATATTCTGTATAGTCATTATTACAGTTCAAAATTTAACGTGTCGAATCTAATTAGTGTTAAAACATAATTAATTAGCTAATATCAATAAATTTACTTTGCATTTCTCCACTTATTTTCTTGGAGTTGGTTTAGTTAGATAATGCAGTTATCGCTGCATTTGACCCAGTACAAAATGTTATTGTATATAAGACAGTGATAGGCTTATATTTTTGCGGTATTGAAGACTATGGAAACGTCTGAAAACAAGAATTTTAAATGAAAATAATAATAACACAATATCGTTTTTATAGTTCACACAGGTATGATTTTACCAAGACTTTTATTAATACAAGAAACTAATTTATCAATTAGCTATAAATTACTAAATTATCACATTAAATCATCATTATCATAGGTATTCTGTTCACCTATGCGCCTTGTGTTGCATAGCGTCCATAGGCTATTTCAGCGAACATCAATGAACGATTCACATGACCTTTAGTCCTCAGACACGTTGCAAGTCATCGTCGTATCTAAAAACAACAATATAACATTGAACGAGCCGTCAGTATTCGCTCCAGTCTACTGAAGATCGTACGTTGGTGTTGCCGGTATTCCAATTAAACTCTTTAAATTAATTTTGTATATTCCGGTGAGTTATGTAATCATTACCAAATATATAGATTAATAATGAAACCGTTTGCGAAAATGACAATTATTTTATTGGATAAAGCCTTGTATTTACTATTAATTTAACTACGTATTTCTCTTGAATTATTATTCAATAAGATGGAATAAATTATTACAGACATAGCTTTGTTACTAACTTTAATAAACAATTTAGGAGAAACATCAAATGATTATGTTAACAACTAGAACTTTCTTCAAAAGTAAATCAAATTGAAGTTAATTGAATATTCAAATTCAGCTTGTTTTAGGTCAAATAACTGAGTTTTCGAATTTATTTTCTAGAATTTTTATGGAATTTATAATTCGGCTTTTGATTGCAGTATCATATCATGTTTATTTATGAAGCATTGATAAGGTGTGAGGCAGTTACATGGCAATTGTATTTGTGCTAATCATTCTGGTATATAAAATATTTTATTTAACGTGGAAAATATTTGTTTTTTTTTTTTGTAAATATTTGCGAGGTAAAATAAAACAATTTAGTTTTTATAGTAATTTTCAACCTGTTTCCAATTGATTGTAAGTGAGGTTTTTAATAATAAATGCACATGAATACATTCAGTTCAAGGTGAAGCAATTGCCTGCCTCTCTCAATGTATGTATTTCTATTTTGCATCCTTGCTTTTATCTAATTCCAAGGCATAACGATAACGCTTTCTATATTATCAATGTTTTGAGGATCTTTTTTTTTTCTAATAGCAGTTTACAAACAAAGTTGTTCAATTATCTGGTTTTCTAATTAACTTACGCAAAAATAACAAAGTAAAAAATTACATAACTTTCGAGTAATGAAAAGAAAACTAGAAAATACTGAAAACAACACTTGTTTTTTAACGAGTTGCGTAATGTTTGCCCGTATCTGAATATACAATAAAATGTGAAAAAAAGTTTCGCAAAATTTCAATATTCTTTTAAGAACTTTGGAATTTAAAATCATAAACTGGAGATTCCTGTTGGATTATATAATTCGTGTGCGTCGTGTTACTTTTTTTTTGAACAAAATTTCGCAAAAAAATTCAAATTTTGTCCCTAGTGTATGTAACCTAACATACACGTCGCTCAATTTTGTTCAAATTACTAAGAAAAAGCGTTCAACTTTCATGAATTTTCATATCGAAATATGACTGTTACTTTATTTTCAGTACGCTCATTTAAAAGGTAATATTTTTGTCTTTAATTTGCATATTCGATGATCTAAATACCTTTGGTGGTTGTCGAGTAATAGAAGAAAACGTGAAGGAAAATGACAAATCGTAATTACTGAACATTTATTATATAGAATTATTAAAAATGTATTATTTTTCGAGTTATTAACGAAAATCTGTATCAATTAGTGTTTTTAACAAAATTTCGAAAAAAAATGCACACATTTCTAGAAGTTTAGTTACATTGTGTAACCAAAAACATTCTAAGAAACTGTAAATAATTAATAATATTTAACTCATTGTAAGTGTCGCAAATTTATATGGAAAAGAACGAATATTCTCAAATGACTTTTAATTATAGTTTAGTGACACTGACATTGATTTTTATTTAAATGATTCCTCAAGAAACAAGTAATTATTGTAATGGTATTTTCAATGTATAAACTTAATGCGAATTCTGTTCTAATTCTATTATATTTGTTCTTTTTAGAATATACCATGGGTAAAATTAAGGCTGGACCAGTTGTCGATATCCTTGGCGATGAGATGACCAGAATCATCTGGGATTCCATCAAGGAGAAGCTCATCCTGCCGTTCCTCGACATAGATCTGCACGTCTACGATTTGGGCATGGAAAACCGCGACAAGACCGACGACAAAGTGACCGTCGATTGCGCTGAGGCCATCAAGAAGTACAACGTTGGCATAAAGTGCGCCACAATTACCCCAGACGAAAAACGCGTCGAGGAATTTAAGTTGAAGTTCATGTGGAAGTCGCCGAACGGCACGATCAGAAACATCTTGGGCGGAACAGTCTTCAGAGAAGCGATCATCTGCAAGAACATCCCCAGATTGGTGACTGGCTGGAACAAACCAATCATAATTGGTCGTCACGCTCACGCCGATCAATACAAGGCCACCGATTTCGTGGTCCCAGAGGCCGGAAAGCTGGAGATGATCTTCACACCTAAATCTGGATCTGAGCCAGTCAAGTACACGGTGCACGAATACAAGGGAGCTGGTGTAGCCATGGGAATGTTCAACACCGACGAATCCATCGTCGACTTTGCTCACGCTTCGTTCAAATACGCTCTAGGCAGAGAGTACCCATTGTACCTCAGTACCAAAAACACCATCCTGAAGAAGTACGATGGAAGATTCAAGGACATCTTCCAGGACATCTACGATAAAGAGTACAAGTCCAAGTTCGAAGCCAAGAACATCTGGTACGAGCATCGCCTGATCGATGATATGGTCGCATACGCCATGAAATCCGAAGGTGGATTCGTTTGGGCTTGCAAGAACTACGATGGTGATGTGCAGTCCGATTCCGTTGCTCAGGGCTACGGTTCCCTTGGACTGATGACATCCGTCCTCATCTCTCCTGACGGAAAGACCGTTGAAGCTGAAGCCGCTCACGGCACCGTCACCAGACATTACAGGCAATACCAGAAGGGTCAAGAGACCTCCACCAATCCCATTGCCTCCATCTTCGCGTGGACCAGAGGATTGTTGCATCGTGCCAAGTTGGACAACAACGCCGAATTAACCAAATTCGCCAATACCCTTGAAGAGGTTTGCATCGATACTATCGAGTCTGGCTTCATGACCAAGGACTTGGCCATCTGCATCAAGGGCATGAACAGCGTGAAGCGTTCCGACTATTTGGAAACTTTCGAATTTATGGACAAGATCGCTGAAAACTTGAAGAAGAAGCTCAGCGTCTGACTAGTCCATAAGCTATAAACATTTTTATTTTTTTCTTAAAAATGTTCACAGTATTTTTGATAACTTCGACGGTTTTCTTTTATGAACCGTTTTTTATATTATAAATATCTGTTCCCGGTGCTTCATTGATTCTTCGTTTGCTCAGCAAGGTTCTGGATTTGTATTTGTTATTTTGTATACGTTACAATTTGATTAAATTGTATTATAAAATTAAATTGATATATTTTTACACTCTATATTTAAATCAACCCTAAATTAAACAATTCATTCTTATAGAAAAGTAATAATAAATTGAGCAAAGCAGAAGTTTTATCCAAAAATATCCTTTTAAAATTATGTAAGCTAGGCAACCAAACTTCTTATCAAGGACTATTAAAAATAGATTTTTTCTTATAAAAGAGTTATCAGGAAATGAAAATTACTTATTAGTAATTTATTTATGAATTGTCGCAAAACTATATCTTCAGACTTTCGTTTTACAAAAAGTTCCTGACAATGCATGTGCAATGGAATTCTGATTACATCGCCATTGTTCATTGTTGATTCCATTTGTTTTTGTTTATTTACTGAATTTTAAGTTGCACAGTTAAAAATGAATGATATATAAGAAAAATACACTTAGGAAGTGCTGTTCTACAAGTGGAATTATTAAGGCTTAAAGATACGTTTTTATTTGCAAAGTGGTTGTGCAATTTCCCAATAAATACAAAATCAATAGGAAAGTTAGGTTATTTTCTGGGTATAACGTAAGGCTTTGTTCCCCTGCTGCTGTTAGTGCTTACAATGATACCCCCGCTTGCTCCTGGGCAAATTTCTGAGCAACAAAACATGGTTGGATGGGTATGCGACTGACACTCAACAATATTGAATCGAATCACTGATCTTGCATTGTTACATTTGCAGAGAAACACTTTTAACATGAGACATGTTACCTTAATGAACATGACCTCATCCCAGTCGAGGAATGGAGTCAAAGGGTATTTGAAAAGTGGCTTCATCACAGGACCAGCAAAGTCACTGGATATTTTACGCAAGAATCTGCAGAGCTCCATCAACAAGGATATAGATAATGTCCTGAAAAAGTATTTAGATGTTGGTGATTTGTGTTTAAGGGAGAGTTTGTATTAATTGTTTGTTGGGTTTTTAGAAATTCTTTCAACCTGCTGTAAACAATATTAGGACGAACTTGGGCAAGGAAAGTGTAACAGATGATCATATTAGGGTGGTGTGTCGGCAGATGCTGGAGGAGGCCAAAGCTATGTATCAGTCTTGTCCTGCTTCTAGGGACAGCTCACCTTTTGATAGCAGTGACACTGAAATTGTGTTAGATAATCGGATAAATAGAAAGGTGAGTAATAAATACTGAAATACGGAAATGTGGTAATTGTTTGTTATTCACAGAATCAAAGGAAGCGAAAGGAATCGGATACTGATTCGGAGACGAGCGGTGTTAATTATAAGAGACATAAATTTCGGACGACCTCTTCGCAGGTGGATGGTAATCAAGTTCTCAGGTTGCCGTCAAAAAGGGAGAGCCCTAAATGGGATGCGGACAGAATAACGTCGTCAACTCTGTTTATGATGGGCTCTAAAGCAAACAAGGTTCTCGGCTTTGGACCGACGAGGGGGCGGCTGTACGCCAGACACCCGGAACTGTTCAGGTACTCGGGCGATCAGGAGGACAAGGATTGGCTTACGTCGAGGAACTTGATGCAAATGAGCGGCGGAAAGGCATATCTCGTCCTTCTGGATGACATCCGGGAGATGACCCAGCTCGATGAGTACAGAAACAACCCGAACTTGCAGATCGGCGAGCTGGTCGGCTTCGAGGCTCCCATCTTCATGTTGAACAAGATCAAGAACTTCATCGAACAAGTCCGCACAGACAGGAAAACGATGGCGACACCCTTGGATCTGTTCGATTTCCACTCGATGACGCCTCCGATTGACTCGGCGCCATCAACACCCTCGGACACGCTTCAGATGTTAGAATCGCATTCCGTCAGCACGACCAGCTCGAAGCACTCGGAGAACAATTTCATCCACATCCCGGACATGTCGCCTGGATCAACAAATTCCCTTCTCACACAGAGTCCTCTACCAACAAACGCCGGCTTATTATCCCCCAACATGCTAATGAACATCGCGACCCCGGATAACAATGGACCAGTGATGCTGATGCCCGACAATTCCCAGACAGGCACTTGCTTATCCACGCTCCTAGCTAGTCAATTATCCAGCGATAACTCGCAGGAGTTCTAAGATGATCTCGCATACCGAATATGCATAAGACAGAGCTATATAATATTTATTTTTAGTATAAACCACTGTTGCATATACACAATTTTCCTCTACTCCTCTTCTCAAAACCCAAAATTAGGAACAACATTTTTGTCAATTTTATACCTAGTCATATCAAAGATAATTGTAAATACAACTTATTTATTATAATTTATTTAAACCCATGATTCACTATTACATATTGTTTCACATTGAACAATAAAATCGTTATAGACCGCTTCTTTATGGATTATTTACTGTATGTTAGCCTTAAGACATATTTGGTTACACAGGGTGTTCTTAAAAAGATGAATAGTTTAATATATTATTGAAACATAATTTCTATACTTTTATTTTCCTTCTTCGTGCTTAAACTATCATTGAAACGTGACACTTATTACATCAATGTAAAAGTTTAAATTGTTACAAGCTGACTCATTATTGTTTCGGAAAATCCTAAGCTCGTAATATTTGACATTATCTTTGTTATTTCATTACCTTACCATGTTCGCAATTTTGTTTTGACAGCTATTAACTTTGTCCTCTTATCTATTTTCTTATATACGAATGCATTTAGTAAACTAATATATAACAGATATTAGAAATGCAAATGTTTGATTCCAATAAGATTATTTACTTAATAATTGTAAAATTTCGTCTATTGTCCATAGTCTTGCGATCATTTTGTCTTGCATTAAAATTTAGTGCAGGAATTATGTGTATTCAAACGATTGAATACTTACAGTGTTTACACACTCGTTTGAGATTTCTATGAGCATTGCACAATCAGCGAGATTCCCTCGTGTTATACACAACAAACGATATGCAAATAAATCAATTTGCATTCATGAATAATCTGCGCGCAGAGTGATTTACAGAAGAGAGAGAAAAAAATAAATAAAATATAATACTCTAGTGCGCGCACACATGCACGGCTATAGGAAATAAATAAAACGAGGGAAAAAGAGGTAAAAACGGAAAAGCCAAGTTGCAAGTAAAAGCGCATTTACGAACACCGTTTGATTCGTTTACCCGTTTCAGGACGAAATAATCCTTCTCCTGCAACAATGTCTTTTCTATTCCTGTTAGAAACCACAAAATAAGAGAAAATATATTAAATGTGTATATGCACTTCAATAATCAATTAATAATTAGCAAAAGTTAAGCTCTTTGTAATGTTTTTAAAGTATTGTGAAAAATTGAAGGCAAAAATTGCAATTTAATAATACGAAACTGCGGTCTAGGACGTCCCGCAGCACTTGAATAATAAAATGCGCTTCTTCTTAACGATGACGGAGTAAACATTCTCGAGTCTGCTCGTGTTTTTGTGACAAATGGAGATTAATTTTTACGCGAAACGTACGGTTTATATTTTCGTGAAATGCGGATTTCCTGCGGATGTGAATTTCAATTATTTTTGACTCCACTTTATGCCGCACATAGACTACACAAGGAACGTGGGTTTCTCCTACATCACTGAATAAAACGAGGGTGGTTGCATGGTATGAGGGAGAGTTTACTATCCGCAACAATCGTTCCCATAATGAAATACAAACAAATATGTTTATAGCTTAAAAAAGAACAACTAAATCTTCAACTAACAATTTCTGAAATATTAATTAATCGTTTCCTGAAAAACGTTCTATTATAGAAAAAACAGAACGTTTTTCAGGATTGCCCTT